GTGTGTGACAGACAGAGCCAGATGAGCGGGCAGATGTTTCCTCTGTCTCCTCTCTGACTGTCTGAGAAAGACTGACAACAGCTGGACCACTGCCAGACACACACACACACACACACACACACACACACACACACACACACACACACACACACACACACACACACACACACACACACACACACACACACACACACACACACACACACACACACACACACACACACACACACACACACACACACACAGTTCTACTTCAACTGTTCTACCTGATTTTAGGCATTACATGTTGTCTTCTATATATTGAACTTCACCCTGTAGAACTGACACATTATATATTATACATGATAGTCCAAAATCCACACTAGCTATCAGGTTAGGTGTGGATGTCATGGGTTCAGGTACACCTAAAGTGTGAGATATCATAAAAGAAAAGGTCTTGCGAAAAGACTGTTATCAGGCAAATACAGCGTGAGACCATGTGATACAGAGTGGGGCTGAGAAAGGTGCATTCTGATTGGGCCAGGAAGTTGAATCTAAATGCACAGATGCACTTAGTTTGGAGCTTTGGATGAACCCTCACAATACAGAATGGCAGCTAGGGTTAGTTGTGTTTGTCAGCAGTCAGAGAAAGATGTTGTTCAGAACAACATGATCTGAGGTTAGAGGTCAGAGTGTGTGCTGTGAGTTCAGAGTCTGAATTGTACCATGTTGTTTTCCTGCTCTGTCTCGTTCTTTCCCTGCATGCTGCGGTTACTCTCTCTGCTGGTGGACGTTTCCTCTCTGTACGATCTGAACGAAATATATAAAGAGACATGTTAATAAGTATTACCTTTGTATAGGATTGTCAGCCACATTTTTTGTCTTAAACATCTGAGTCATTCGAACTTAACGAGGCATTTCACTGCTTTAAGCAAACTAAACTAAACGTCATTAAATGCACAAGTCCTGAACATTCTCCATCGCAATTTTTACACTACATACATACTTTTTTTTCCTATCCCAAAACTACCCCATATGCTATACTTTATATTACCATAACATAACATTACATTTAATTTCATTCTTTAACCTTAACCAATGATGTAACTTAGGCCTACTTATTTACATTGGGATGGCAGATACAAAGTCTGTATGGAATTGGCTTGGGAACCAGAGGGTAACTGGTTCAAGTCTCAGACCTGACCAAGTATAAATTGTTCTGGTACTGGAGATGCCAGTTCACCTCCAAGGCCGGATTAAGACACCAGACCCGTGCACTATATAGAAAGCATCCAACTGTTCCTTAAACTAGGGTGGATTCATTGCAGAGAATACATTTTAACCTGTTTTGTGAAACATTATGTGAAAATTAAAAGTATTTGATTCAAATCCGTTATTTCCATGTATGTAACAAACACTATAAAGGCATCTTGAAAACGTACCACTGCGGTTGTACGACAGACTAGCTTTCACCCTAATTGATTTTGTACGATACATATATTCAATATACTTGCATGAGATTTATAACAGAAACATTTTGCAGAAAAAACAATCAGTTATTGAAGATAATTGCTAAAGGTCAACCTATCCAATTGAGTCCCAAATAAGCATCCATATGCAAGGCGTTTGAAGTGAGTAAGGGCTGACCAGACATTTGTTTTACAGGTAGTAGAAATTATAAATTATATTTCACATGTCCCATTGATGACACTAGCTTACCCTAACCCTAACTAAATACTTTCTGGACAATGCTTTCTTTAAACAGGACGTGGAGTTGTGTACCTGTGGGACAGTCTGAGTACTCTCTGTGTGAAGCAGGTGAGTCTGTGCGTCTCTTCCTGGTATCTCAGCTGGTCTCGGGTCAGCAGCTGACGCAGCGCGCTCAGAGCCTCCTGCTGGAACACCAACCGCTCTGATTGGAGCAGACGCTCGGTGACGGAGACCTGAAGCTCCCGACAAGCACACAGCTGAAACTGGAGAGGGAGAAAATCAATAAATACAACGCTGGTTTGTTTCTGATCAGTGCATTTGGAAGTTTATGGTGTTATTTTAATGATCATCTCATCTCTGAAGGAATGAACACAATGTTTGATGGTGCAGTAACGGCCATGTGAAACAAGTCAACTGAGATAATAGAACTAGTGGATGTCATTTTTCAGATTTTAAAACCTATTCAATTTTTCTGACGGGTATTTAGATGAAAATGTAAATGCAACTTTTTTTTTAAATTGTAATTATATTGTGTTAAAAAATCAAGTTCAAGTGTCTTTATTAGATGTTTGACTCTATAAAGTTGTACATTCATCAGCATTGAGAAGCATGTTTGTTTGACAAGGAGATACCTCTAATAATGATCATATTGTATATTATATATGTAGTCATCTTTCATTGCATCTCTTAAAATGTGAAATTTATAATCACTAAAAAGTACATTTTGGCAAAGCCTGAGGTTCTCACATCTTCAATCCATAATATTTTGGACATTACGACTTTTTAGTTCGTTTTTTTTTAACCCATGTGACCTGTGTGTGTCCTGCTGATCTTACAGTGGCGCTCTGAAGGCTGGAGCTTCTCCTCAGATCCTGTTCGCTCTGTTTCTTCTTCTGCTGAAGAATAAAAAGCTCAGCGGTCAGCAGCTGCTGGCGGCCTTCAATCTGCAAGAGTCTGAAAACACAAAGACAAAAACATTTAGGTTGTAAAATACACTTCTGGAATTCACTCTGTGTGATAGCGGAAATGTATACTATCATTATGTTTGTATATGTATTCTTTCAGTATGACATATTTCGGGAATTGATGACTGTTTTTTGATTGGCTGGTTGACATTTTGGTGAATAATTCACCTTATCAGCTCAGTATATGGAAATGTATTCTTTGAAAACTGCAATATGGTCAGAGCTTCATAATGTTGGTAATGTGAACAATAATTATTATTATTTTAAAAGTACTATCCAACATGCATTTTTATTACGCAATACTACAAATATTGTTAATTTTCCTATAATAATTTCCTTGATTTGCAGAAGATAAATACTAGGTAAATGTGTTAAAATGGCCGTTCATGCAGACATCAAGATACAAACAGTATCTTTCAAAAATATTATTTGATGCATAAAAAGACAGTTATATAAAGACACATTTTAACAAGCTAACATGAAGTACATACTTGAAAAATAAATGACTTTTAATGAACACCAATTAATTAAAAAAATATGCAAATGTGCAGGATAGTGTTCCATATTTCAGATCATTACTGCAAATTGAATTAATTATTTTGTATGTATGCACACAATGGGAGCTTTTATCCCTCGGGTGTTGCTGTATGACAGTAAATATATTTTCACTAAACACACAGAGCCCAGCAGCTGAGCCACTCGCCTGAGAAAACACCATTTAAAAGATACATCACGATATTTGATACTCTAGTTTTTTTCAGAGGTTGTTCAGGGGTAACAAATAAAGGTTAGTTGCGGTGTTGGGATTTGAACCATCAACCCTCGGGTCTCCCATCCTGATCCCGACCACATTCCTGACTCTCATCACCCTCCCTGTTTGACATGAAACGGTTCCTTCCTTGAACAAACACAGTGGCGTCTTCAGAGATCCACACAGAGCAGAACAGCTGATTTAGTGTTGGAGTAAGGGACTAATCTTCCTGTCTAAAGTCAACAGCAGCCGAATATTACAAACCACAAAGCAACCACACATCAGCAGGAGTCACACCATCATGTGTCAGGATCACATCAGACTATTCACTGCTGGTATCTACTGTGCAGTGATAGCACTTAATAACATTTAGTATGAAAGTATGCAGAGGTAGAAAGTAGGGCTGCAGGATTCGGAAAAATAACTAATTGCAATTCTAGTTATCTAGCAATATCACTAGCATTATCATTCGTGATTTTAGAAAAAAAAAATCTTTTTAATTATCCATCATTCACATAATAATAAGAACCAATACTAACATGGTCATAGTATGATTTCTTAAGAGGATATGGGCAGGATCCTTTAATAAGTCTGTAAAAAACTAATGTTGCACTGGATATTGCATAAATCAATATTGTGTTCTTAATAACATTTTTGATAAGTGTGCAGCCCAAGTAGGAGGGGTAAACATTAGTAATACTTGCAGCGATGGAAGTAGTACTGCTAATATATGTGCAAGCGATACTACAAGAATTGTCATATTCATATGAACAATTGTATAGAAGGCTAATGATACATGCAACAGCGGTAGCAGTACATATAGTAGTCAGTAAAGCAGAAATAGTAGAGGCAGAAACAACATAATTGTAGAATAAGAGGGAAAACATATAGTATTCATATCTGTCTCTGTATTAACTATAAGGTGCAAAGTGAAATGCTGTATATCATTCCAATAGCTTGCATATAGACTCTTATTTCACTACTTCACTTTTTTAAAACTATTTTTCTTTTTGTATTGACTTTTTAATATTTACTTGTTTTTCTGTATTATTGTGTTGCACTGTTGGAGAAGCCTGTGAAGGCACACAGGGGATAGTATTATTGTGTTGCACTGTTGGAGAAGCCTGTGACCTAACATTTTCATCGACATAACTACTCTGTAGCTATGTTCGTATGACAAATAAAGAACCTTGAACCTTGGTAATAAAGATGAAAAAAAAGTAGTAACAATAATAAACTTAGACTTGTTTGTGTCTTGTGTGAAACCAAAAGTCTATTGAATTATAAATGTTTACTACTTAACTTAATAAAGTAACATATTACGTAACAATATGCAATATTTTAACCCATACGCTTGTGTCTTTTTTAACCTGCCAATACACTGTAGTTTGAATTCACAGCGTTCACCATGTGTATGCAACTGCAACCCAAAATACTTTAGTATACTTTAGCTGAATCACAGCTGTAGCACAGGGTCAATAGGCAACAAGAAGATGAGAACAAGCATAGAACAAAAATAATATTTCAGTGATCATCATAAATACTTCAGAAGACATGAAAGGCAGAATAGAGGGCACAAACATCATCAACTTTATGCAAAGACAATAACAACAAAGCGTGAAGACTTTAATATTCAAATATATGAAAACACTCATCGTCACAGCATGTTGTATTAACTTACTAAATCCTAAATCAATAGAAAAGCAATTTCTTCATTAGAGTTTTATTGAATAAGTGCAACAAGTTCTGACAAAAACAGAAAATTGTGTTTTTTGTGTTTGGTATGAATGTCAGTTGTTTTATTTCTCTCTGTTATCTGTAAAGTGAGTGCTTCCCTCAAGTGGACAGTATGTGAAAGAGCAGCTGACTAACCTGGACAGATGGGACCCTCATCTGTAAGAATTTTACATTTCATATTTTGTTGGAATAGAGCCGTAAAGAATGTGTACCAGCACAAAGAGCAGCTATTCCTCTGTTCCTTATTTTACCTTGCCTGCCTACAAACAATCACTCACGTATACTCAACACTTTCAAACTGCTGCGTAAAGCTGCTTAACATGCAGAGACACTTAATATTTCATGTTTCTTATTTTGACACTTAATATTTCATTATTCTGCCTATTTTATCAGTGGAAGATAAATTGAAAGATAAGATTACTTTGTTTATTAATGTGGATTTTATCCAACAATAATGTGCAATACAAATATTCATGGAGAAAAGACTGCTCATCAAATATCTACAGTTTGACTATTTACTCTACACACACATTCTTTAAGCACAATACAAAATGTTTTAATAGGATGTAAATGGTAGGTACTGTAAAGGCAGTGCACAGACCTTGCACCAAGTGGAAAGCGATCTGGCATAACTATTAAAAAAAAAAAGTGTGTGTTTAAAGTGTTTGTGTATAATGCATGCAAGGTCCAATTTAAGAGGACATAACAAGAAAGTGAAGTTATCAGGGGAAAAACTAGATCCAAAATGTCACCATCATCTTCAGACCTGGGATAATTCATGCTTTCACTACACTTAGATTGCTTAAAGGTTAGGAAAAATGTCCCTTTACTGTACATGAAAAAGCAATGGCTTCATCTATTCCTTTGTTACTATTGTGTTCATATCATCTTCTGGTTGACTTCCCCCTGAAAGCACAAAGACATCACAGATTACTAAATAATTAGCAGTTTGCAATCAATGCATTCAGCAGTGACTTTGGGCAGTGTACTTACTGAACCACGTCTGGAGGGTCTCAGATCTCCGCAGCATGAAGTACAACAAACCAAACACCAACAGGATGCCGAAGAAGCCCCCAATGACACAGCCAATGAGAATGAAGTAGCTGCGACCGTCATCTATAGAGTGAATTTTTCACAATTGATTTGGTGGAGAAAGACTAAATGCATAGAGCAACTTGTGCAGACATTATTAAAAGTAAGAAACTTTAAGCTTAAAATGAAGAAATGTCCATTCAGAAAAACTATTCCATGATGCATTTCTAAAAACATTAACATAACCTGCCTGGATTGCTTACAAGTTGAGAGCATATCGGAAAGCCTCAATAATAATTGTTACTTTTTGTATTTTTTCAGTACAGAACAATACAAGTTACACTTGAAATAATTTCCAACAACAACATGGACACAAGAGATTGTGAACCGGCTCTCTCTTAACATGTACACACATTGTCTTTGTTTTTAGAAATTCACCTAGTTATCTGATTGAAGTTGTTTGAACTGTGTTTGCCAGAAGAGTGCCTCGGACCTTCTTTTATGATAAACCTGCTGAAATAATATAGATATCAAATTGCAATAGTAGTATTTTCACCATAAACTTGCAGGACAGCAGCAGGTGCAGCACGATTGTTTGGCTGCTGACACACAACTCTTGTGCCGTTGTCTGAGTAAGAGGTTCCCTTGAGTGTCCACACAGCCAATGACTCGCCTTTCTTCGAACCACAACTTCCATACAGAGCCTGATGAGAGAGACAGGGAGGAGGGTGGAGAGAAGTTCAGGCAAGAAAGAATTGAGATACAAAACGATGTGATCGGCTAAATAGACTGTTGAGTGAACCCTTATGTTGCTTCTTACAGTGGCAGTATGATGGTGCTACTGAGGGGAAGAAGTGGAGAAGAAAGTGAGGATAGGAGGAAGCATTAGATGAGGCCTCACCTGGGGGATATCTTCTACGTGGCCAGAGGGGCATGTGAGGCTGTAGTTGCCGTGACTCCCGTAGAAGGTGAAGGTGAAGGTCGGAGAAGCTCTGGGAACTCCACAGCTAAACACTGCAGGATCTCCCACAGCCACTTTGAGGTCCGCTGGGTGTGTGAGGTATCTGAGAGCTGCTGGGTTCGGTGCTGAAGTGGTGGTGGTGGTGGTGGTGGTGGTGGGGATATTGGCGATGGAGTTTTCAGCTGAAACAGTTATTTAGAGTCGAAAATGGGTATGATAAGGAGGAAAGTACAAAAAGTGCAGTCAGCATTAAAGTACAATTAGTTTGGACTACTATATTCTAACTTCATCCACAGTTTTTTATGTCATCAAAAAGGTGTTAAACCAGTTCAGTAACCAAACACTTTTACCTAGAAAAGTGCTCTCAAAACTCACAAGAGTTCAATAACTGCCCTTATGATGGCTGGGAAGACAAACAAAAACTTGATTTATTTATCTTGTCTCCTACCTAACTTAAGTGGATCACAACATATCAGGTAATTAATATGCACATGCTCCAGATCTTTGTTATCTTTGTTGATCGATATACTTTGTTGTTTTTGGACAATGACAAAGGCCAAAATGTGGCTTGCAACAAACAAAGTACATTTTCTTTATTTCTTGTCAAATGAGGAATGCGACCCTTTGCCACCCTTTGAACACATACTGTGTCTGTCAAGTTATTGTCTCCAAAGACCCTCTAAGGATCGTGTTGTAAACCCCATAGCAGTATGAGGTTTACATACTTAAATAGTTTTGTGCCCAGCTATAAAAACATGGGGTTTGAATTAGTCGATAATGTTTGCCGCACATGCGCATTATTGATGGGAATTACTTTTGATAAGGAATCAGTTCTTATTTTTTTGTAGTCAGCAGCCAATGATGGTATAACAGATAAGTTAAATAACATTGAAATGATTCACTGCAACCATGAAAGACGCTTGAGCATACAACATCGAGTTTTAAATGTGTACACAATATAGGGGGATGGGTCTAACCCTAACCCTAACCCAATGGATAAATGCCGGACAACGGACCAACACAGCACAATCTACTCCAGAGAGAGGAGCAATGAGATAAATAGATATCTACAGAGTCAGGGAACACATAATGCACTGTACACACATAATGCACTGTACACACACAGACACACACACACACACACACACACACACACACACACACACACACACACACACACACACACACACACACACACACACACTTTGTCTTATCTCCAAATCGAAAGTAAAAAAAATTGTAAAAATGGTCCAACTGATCACACTTCATGGAGTCTGATCTTTCACAACACACTCTACACATCATCGCTCAGATAAGAATTTTAGGTTGAGTTGTTCCACCCATCATTGTTGTGGATGTTGACAGGAAGTGAATGCTACCTGCATCTGAGATGATGATGCCTTAAGCAAAGTACATCCCCTGCCCTCATAAACATTTGTATATTCCAATGACCAGGAACCGGTGTTCCCCCGGGGGATTTTCTTGACATGGAGAAAGATTTGTTTTACAAATATCTTCCAGTGACTAAAGGTATTTCCTTAGAGGCTCCAAAACATTAACCAGGGCCGGAGTGACGTCAATGCATGCATTCAGTTTACAGTGTATCAATGTTCATGCAAGTACGACCTGGAAACCTGATGTTTGATATAAACACACTTGTATTTTCTAATCACTGAAGCAGTTAGTTACCTGAGGAGGGTGCGGTGATTTGGAACAGAGCCAGCAGCAGCAGGCACATATTAAAAACCTTCCTCCTCTTCCTCATCTCTATTTTTGTCTTCTCCATTATTTTCTCCACTCAGGTTCTCTTATTTCATAGGTTAATCTGCAACAGTATAAACAATTTAACTTAACGTTTCATTCAACAATAAAGGAATACAACAGTCAAGACTCCCATGCTTTTATTCAGATTAAATGTGGTGTAAATTACATTGGAACTTTACTATGACCTGAGAGCAAATAACCATTTGACTGGTTCTTTGCCCTCGGGTAATATAAAAAAAAGGTTTTAGATACAGATGCAATGTTAATAGCCTTTTATGATACGGGCCAGAATGTATGACCCATTAAATTGATCTAAAAATAACTTTTGTCATCTATATACATGTATTTAAATAAAAGATTATATTTCACACCATAGATTGAATAAGAATATATGGGCTGACAATATAAAATTATCAGATTTTACATTCATAATTGTATCACTTTTAGAATGATTCCACTGATCCGAGGCCTTGTCCTTATGAATTGTAAATAAGTGATGTTAACTTGAACTTTACTGAGCTTTTGTCATGCAGTGTTATTTGCTTTCAAATGCATTTAAAAAAAGGCTCATCTATATTTGATCCATGCATTTTTCAACCCCTAAATCTTGCAAGGTTTTGTAAGTATGGGAAAAAAAGTAAACGAAAAAACACATGTATTTAAAATGCAATGGAAGTCGAGGAAAACATCACCACTAACCTTAAAATGAACTGGAAATTCCCCAGAAGATCTGCAGACAGTTTCCTTTTTTAACAATACAACGCAGCTACTTAAAAAACAACAACCTTCTCTCAGCTGTTATTCTCACATATGTAGTCTCAAAAGACTGTCAATGTCGCAACGTAATGCTGACTCTCTTTTCATCTATCCACGTGTCACGCCATCCTCTCGCTCTGACCAGAAGGTAAGTTGAGAGGCACAACGCAACTGGAGGAATGTTGAAATCATCCTGATTTACAGGAAGGATTTCTTTGAAACAAACAGGTTGGGCAGGCCTGAGCCAATAATAGCTGCTAGTAATGTCAATCAAAATCAATCTCTCTCTCTCTCTCTCTCTCTCTCTCTCTCTCTCTCTCTCTCTCTCTCTCTCTCTCTCTCTCTCTCTCTCTCTCTCTCTCTCTCTCTCCCTCTCTCTCTCTCCTTCCCCAGACACACGCACGCACGCACACATTTGTTTACTGAGAATGAGCTGGAAATAGTTACGTAACACAATTTTACATTCAAATAAATTCCCTCTGGGTGAAGGACAAGCAGGACGACCTGGTGTCAAAGCAACAAAAATTACACCAATGTTCAAAAACATACCTGTTATGTTTTGGTTTTAATGTCCTGGACAAATTAATGTATTGTACATTTCTTGCGATAATGGATTCTCTGAAGTAAAGAGGGAGAGATGGATAATATCTAACAAGATTAAGAGTTAAACAGCCATTCTTTGTCAGGCTAAACAGTGCTTTAAGCTAGATGCTAAAATCAGCATATTTCCATGCTCACAATGTCAATGCTAACATACTGACGTTTGGCAAGTGTACCATATTAGTATTTTTGAAATGGTGTGCACAAATCTGATGGAAAGCATGTTGTCTTTTGCTGTAACAAAAGTAGTGGTCTTTGATGGTGATATTTTGAAGAAATACTATAGGCAAGATGAAGTCATGGGCTAACCAAAGACTCTAGAATCGATCATCTGGGGCCCTTGATTTTCCGTCAATGTCCAGATACATTTTGTCAGTAGCTTTTGAGATATTTCAGTCAGGATCAAATAATGGCAGACTGATGTGGCCACAATTCTAAATAACTATGCAGAACACTGTGTAAGACTGAGATATCATAATGATAAACATTTCATTGATTGAAACTTGAGTGAGTTTGAGAGGTCACCATTTTATTTTAAGCTTTTGATTTGATGGAGAAAAGGGTACAAAAAATGTAGTATTGTTAGATGTGCCAAGAGCAAGGACTGTCTTAGGTAAGACAGCTTTTATGTGCACAGCGCCACTTGCTTGGAACAGTCTACAGCTAAAATTGAAACTGAGCAATTTCATTCCTCTTCATGTTTTTAAAGCAAGTGTAAATGAAATGCTCATTGAAACTACGGGTATTTGTAAATGTTGATAAGTATGTAAATGTAGCTTGTAAATATGTTGTATGATATCCTCTATTGTTTTATGTTGTTTTATGTTCCATGTGGAACCTAATTGCTGCAGGTCTCCCCTGAAAAAGAGATCTATGATCTCAATGGGACCAATCTGGATAAATAAAGGTTACAAAGATTTACTTTACATTCTTATCATCCCTTGATGTGTGCTCCACTCCAGTATATTTTGTGCAGCAGTATGGACATTTTAATTTGGTGACATCTGCTGCTGCTTTTGTATGTAACAGAACTAGATGGCATTTACCTAGTGGTGCCTAAAACACATTTCAAGAGCCAGCGCCATTTAGTTCCCTTATATTCAAGTGAAGGCAGACATCTTTATGGCGGATATCTCCATTACTCTATTACTCTGCAACTCAAACTAATCTAGCTTGTTCAATGGGCCCTATAATGCACATTTTTAAGGTTATTTTATTTATTTAGTGCCTCTACTGTGACATGTTAAGATGCTTTTCACCCTCCGTCTGAAATCAGATCCAAGTGTGCTCTGACTGGTTAGCCGGCTAGCTCTGTTGTGATTGGTCAACCGCTTAGAGATGTTCTGCCCCTTACCCTATCACATACAATGTGTTTGAGCGCTAGCCAATAGAAGCGTGAGTGTTACATTGTGATGTCATTATGTCCCGGAAGTAAACAAAGGGGTCCCTCTGATGTGAACTTTGGGGTTTTAGCCTTTGCAGACCATTTACATGCACTCAAATCTATATAACTGTCAGGATCTAGACACAAACTGATGAACCCAAATGCACGACCCAGAGACAAAGTGAAATGTAAAATGTTTTAATTTTTATTTCACAGACCAGGTAATCCCTCTTAATAGAGTAGGTACTGGAAATAACAAACGGTGCACACAAGGAGGAAAAAACTAGCCGTAACAAAAAGAGAACTTAAGAAAAACTTAAGCCTACACAATTAACAAAACCTTACATGAGTGAAAGCGATCCTTTCAGAGCTGAGGCTTGGCACGACCATTCGGAGAAATAAACAAGACGAACTGACACAGGACAGGGGAGAGACAGGACTATTTAAACATGAGGTGAGTGGGAACAGGTGGAAACAATCAGGGGCGGGGCAGACAATGATGATGGCGGGAAAAAAACACAAGGGGAGGAAGAAACAGGGCCTCAAATGAAAGACAAGAG